GCACAGAGTTTGGCACATGGTGAACGCTCGGTCAATATCTGTTGAATGAACTCATGAGTGAATGAAAGAAGCTGGGAATCCAATGAGATCTGACTCTAAACCTAATGACCTTGTTTATTCACGCTGAGTCTAGTAGATGATGTCCAACATAACGCGAGTCCTACCTGTAGGCTGAGCGACTGTGGAATCGGCACCTGTCAACGTGAAGAGACATTGTGCATGTTATCCTGTTGTAGTTGGTGAGTGTTTCCTGGGAATGTCCTACATTCAGGGAGCTGTGAGAAGTAGAGAGGCAGAGGCCCTGCCCTTGAGGATCTTGGCTTCCTGGGGATTTGAGACATGAGACCAGGCAGCAAATGTTGAGTGTCCCAGTAGAACTGCAGCATTCAGTGCTCCCCCATGGACCTTAAATGTTGACGAAGTGTGGCTCAGATGGGCTAAGTACAGTCTGGCAGAGCTTGTCAGTCCTAGAGATGTTATTCCAGCTGCCAGGAGGACAGAATCAGGAAAGACTGGGAAGTACAGCGGGGCAGAATCAACCAATGGGACACATAGGTTTGGGGAGGTCACCAGGCCCAGATGTGGAAGGCCTAGAGCACCAGCTGACAAATTTGACCCATCACCTGAGGTCACAAACTCAGAAGTTTCCAAGAGCCAAGCAGGTAAGAGGAACAAATGACCTGAATGGTTGGGGACAGTGTGGGCTGGAAAGCTGTATCCAGGGGCTGCTCTTTTTCAGATCCAACCAGTTAATGTAATAAGAAAAAAAATGTTTTGAGTCTCAACTTCTGCCTTTATTTTTTTCACCAAATGTAAGAATTTGGATTTTTCTGCCAAATACTCGGATTTAGCTGAATTTAAAGCTCAGCTCAAATTTTTAAACCAAACAGGCCATTTCTGAGCCGGGATCCAGCCTGTGAGTCATATGTAGCAATCTTTGCAGTCAAGGGGCTGGCCAGGGTGATGCGTTCCTTTGAAAGGATGTAAGCAGTGCTGGCTGGCTGCCTGGACCCACTGCCATTCCCAGGTTAGGCTGTGGGGTGTGTGTGTGTGTGTGTGTGTTCAGTGGGCGGTAAGTACTATGGGAACAGGGATCCTCCAAGTGAGCCCGGACGGTCAGCCCCTCACCTGTGCAGATGACCCCAGCGTCCTCCAGGTGCCCACAGTTGTGCCCCGCCTCGTCTCTGTGCCTGCACTGCCCCAGGTGGCTCTCGGTGCCCACACACTGCACATCGTCCAGCACAATCTTCCCCGAGCCTGCTCCAGTGGGGGGTAAGTACTGTGGGAACAGGGATCCTCCAAGTGAGCCCTGACGGTCAGCCCCTCACCTGTGCAGATGACCCCAGCGTCCTCTAGGTGCCCACAGTTGTGCCCCGCCTCGTCTCTGTGCCTGCACTGCCCCAGGTGGCTCTCGGTGCCCACACACTGCACATCGTCCAGCACAATCTTCCCCGAGCCTGCTCCAAAGTGTGCCCCTGCGGGGGCTGCCACGGCCTGACCACACTGCAGCTGGTGGCACACGACGGTGGCTTCGGCCAGGTCCCAGAGGTCATCACACACGGTCCCCCATGTGCCCTGGACAAGAACCTCCACACGGCCCGAGCACCTCCCCGTGCCATTCATCAGTCTCACAGCCATCGGGGCTCCTGGGGAGGCACAAGGAAGAAATCCCACAGAGGGACCGGCCTTCCTGTCTCCGGAAGGTTTCCTTCAGCCTTTAAATCTCTAGGTGATCATCTCCCCACTTACAAACATGCAAGTTCACATAGCACGTACACCCACACATTAGGAATAGCCAGAATGACTTTCAACTTCAAGTCCCTTCAATGAAACTTTATTAAATTCCCCCCTTGTTTGAAGAAATTTCCAGAATTCCTAAGTTCTCCTAACAAGACCATTTTATCCATATGTTAGTCCCTCGTCATGGACAGGATTAGAAATATGAGATGTCAATATAGCTAATGAAACAGGAAACTAGACTATCCATAGGCAGATCATAGCTAAATGATCTTGTCACTCAGAACTACGTTTGGCCCCGTAAGCCTTTCTTTACATCTTTAGTATGTAAAAGAGACTGAGGGCAGGAATTGACATTTGTTGTTTGTGAGTTAAGTGCCAGACCCTCAGAGAGCCACTAACTTAAACGTTTCTCTCTTAATCTTTATCACTACCCCGTGCGGTGGGGGATGGGCTCCCATTTTACAGATGGGGAAACCGAGACTCAGAAAGGTGAAGAGAATTGCTCTAAATTTCATAACTTGTAAGTGGGCTATGTCCCGCTTTAACTGTGCCCGTGGGTCTCTTCGATCTTGGAGAAATGCCTCTCCCCACGCTATCCACAGCCCCGTATTTCTCAGGAACTGCTTCCCATACCTGCAGGTGGAGGTGTCCAGGTCTCAGGGGCTGCGGTCAGCAAAGTCTCCAAGAAGCGGTCAGCTAGGAGGAACAGCAAAGCAAGGTCACTATCAGTCAGAATAAAGCGCACACACCACTGGAAAAACTCATTTTAAGACACTCTGAAGCTTTTTGTTTTCATTTAATTCATCTAAGTCACCATCATCACCATCATCCAAGACTTTAACTTTTCATTCACCTGTGTTCGTGGTAAACTTATCCTTGGATCCTCAGCTCAGTAGAAATAAATCTTTAAAAAGCAGAAGATGAATTTAAGAACATATTTAAGAAAACCTAAAGGAAGTAAAGGCAGCCTCTATAAATTAATAATGCTGTATGCTAACATTCATTAAAAATATTTATTGAATGCAAAGAAAGTGATGCGGAGTGCTTGCATTTAAAAGCCTTACAACTCGGTCAGAAGCTAGAATAAGTATAAGAGTAAGTATACTTATAAGTATACAATGGTGATGGTGATGGTAATGTAATATGAGGTGGATTAGGAGGGATGTCAACAGAAAAGGTACAAATAGAGGACATGCCTCCTCATGGAGAACAGGGGAAGCTACTGGGAGAAATGGAGCAACGAAGCCATGATGGGACTCCAACAGGTAGGAGAAGAGGGAGGGGAGCTCGTTTAAGGCGGCAAAGGAAGTTAAAAAAAAAAAAAGACCCATCTATTTATGGTTATGTGATTTTTAACAAAGTGCCAAGGTATTTCCACGGAGACAGGAGAGTCATTTTAACAAATGGCATTGGGATGATTAGATATCTGTACAGAAAAAGAGTCCTTTAAACAATATACAAAATCAACAAAAATGGCTCTGAGAGCTAAATGAAAAACCTAAAACTATAAAAGTTTTAGAAGAAAATAGGAGAAAATCTGAGAGACCTTTAGTTAAGTGAAGATTGCTTAGATAAAACACAAAAGCACAATTCATTAAAGGAAAAAAAAAACTCGGGAAATTTGACTTCATTAAAATTTTTTAAATTGTATTTTTTACAAAACACTGTTAAAATGAAAAGACGGGTCATAGACTGAGAGGAAAAATGTGCAAAACACATATCTAAGAAAATACTAGTATCCAGAATATATAAAGTACTGTCTTATAACACAATAATAAAAGACATACCAATTTTTTAAAAAGGATAAAAGATTTGAACACATACTAGTATCCAGAATATATAAAGTTATAAGACATTATTATGTCTTATAACATAATAATAAAAGACATACCAATTTTTGAAAAAGGATAAAAGATTTGAACACATAACTTCACCTAAGAAGAGATGAAAATAAGCTCAGTATCATTAGGCATTAGGGAAAGGCAAATTAAAACCACAAAGAGAGATCACTATCTTATTATCGTAGAGGGACTGTAATGGCTAAAGAAAAAGTAGAAACTCCAAAGTGTGGCCTGGGATGTGGAGCTACTGGAACTCTCACATCTTGCTCGTGGGAATGCGAAATGGTACAGCCACTTGGAAGAATGATTTAACCTGTATGTGAATTTTTAGCAGCTTTACTCATAATGGTTAAAACTGAAAAATAGCTCAATGTCCATCAAGCAGTGAATGAATAAACAAATATTAGTACATCCATACAGTGGAATACTACTCAGCTAAGAAAAAGAATAAATGCTCGATACATGGAACGATGTGGAAGAGTCTCAAAAGCATTACGGTAAGAAGCTTGAAACAAAATGCTACATATTATCTGCTGACATTACCTAATATTCTAGAAAAGGCAAACCCATAGAGTCAGAAATCACATTGGTGGTTGCCAGGATCTTGGGGGTCAGAAGAGAAGATTGACTATTAAGGGGCACAAAGAACTTTCTAAGGAAATGTTTTATATTGTAAACATTATGAAATGGTGGTGATGGGTACACAACTATAACCATTTATCAAAATTCTTTTAACTACGTAATGAATTTTACTGTAGTTAAATTATATCTCAATAAACCTGACTTTAAAAAAAAGTAATTCTGGGATCAAATTTATGGTAGCTGAAGGAAACTGGACTTTGGGTGGTAAACACACAATGGAATATACAGATGTCAAATTATAATGTACACCTAAAAATTATATAATTGTATCAACCAATATTACCTCAATAACTTTAATTTAAAAAAAAGTAATTCTGACTGCATGTAAACAATGGACTAGAAGGTTGGGCACCTGTAGGCAGTGAAGCCAGTTAGGGGAAGACTGTGGAAGGCAGGAAGAGGTGGTAAGAATCTGGATCAGAATAGTGGCTGCCAGACGAAGAAGAAGCCGTGAATGTGACTCCAGGCTCCTAGCTGTAAATGAAAAATTAATTCATCCACAGAGACCTGTTTTTTTGCATAGTACTAGAGAGCCAGATGTTTGCAGATATCTTAACAATCTATTTAAAAGTCTTATTTGGATGTTTGGTTCTATATCTACATAACCATAAAAACCCATAAACTAAAAACAACCAGAGAAGTGATTCACCAATACAAAGTTCAACTTACTGTATGGACTAGTTTCTGCTGATAATGGTGCTGGTGCTGGTAACAACGATGTTAATAATGATGGCATAGATGACGACAACAATCGTGATGATGATGGTGATGATGATGACAATAGTGACGATGACGATGACAATGGTAATGACAATGGTGATGATGATGGTGGTGATGGTGATGATGATGATGGCGATGATGAAGATAGTGATGATGACAACGATGAGGACGATGAAGATAATAATAATCGATGATGGTGATGGTGATGGTAATGACAATGGTGATGACAATGGTGACGATGATGAAGATAGTGACGATGACAACGATGAGGACGATGAAGATAATAATAATTCTGCTTCTGTTTATTAGGATAAGAAAAGATCTTTCTTTGTTTTAAGCTGGCAGTTCTCAAATTGTGTTCCCCAGAACACAGAATAAACATCCTGGATTAGTTGGAAATGCAAATTCTCACACCCCTCTCTCGGCCTACTGAATCAGAAACCAGTATATGTTTTAATAAGACCTCAAGGTAATTCTGATAAACATTAAAGTTCAAAAACCACTGCTTTAGGATAAAAAAGGAAGGATTGAAATGGCACCATGGTTTTTTCTAGTAGACTTACTCTAAAATCACACAACTATAATTTTTCAACTGATGTTGTTTCTTTGTCTATTAGAAAGGATCAGGCCTCACAGACTCCAGAGGGATAATTTTCTGATCCAGTCACTCTGGAAAGTAAATTTTCTCCCAAAAAGGTAATTCACAATGATTGATGAGCACCGACACAGAAACTATATCCTAAAGTCAATAACTATTAATTAAAGTCCTACAGTGGCCCCAGCTGCCCGGTAATTTAGTTCCGATCGGGGAAATTTCCTGTACCCGGTGACTGTGTACTGCTAGCTAATTCCAAAACTCCCTTCTGCTGACGTTACTCTTCAATGTTGAGCTCTCAGCTAAGCCACACCCTGAATGGTGCCTGGGAGCTACCCTTGGACATCTGCCCAGAAGAGGGGCCGTTCAGGCCAGGGTCAGTAGGTTGTCTGGGGCAGGAGAACATGAATGCAGGAGAGCAAGGTCAGCACCTTGTATCTGTGTTCTGAGTTCCATCTGTTATGGCGGGTTGACATTATAGACTGGGCTTTAAATGATACAGATCAATCAAACCAGCCTCTGCAAACTGCTTACAGCTTGATTTAACAGGGTCATTTTTATTCCATTTCTACTGCACAGAATAAATATTAGCCAGATGGAACTAGAAGTAAGTGAATGGGACATAGATATAGCCCGAATCAGTCTTAGGTGGAGGGGAGGGGGCTGCCGCTAGAGAAGCTGTTAGTGTGGAGAGAGGAAACCATCAATTGTGAGTGAACCAAATGTCATGGATACAGGGGGCTAAGTGGCTCTCCTCGCCACTGCAGGGCACGTTGTTCAGGAGAACATTCCCAAAGTTGAAGTGGGCGCCCCAGAAGCAGACTCCACCTGGCCGCACCTAAGCTGGCTGCACACGACATGTGCCTCCTTCAGACCCCAGCTGTCAACACACACTGCCCACCAAGAGCCCCCGTGGAGAACCTCCACCTGTCCCGAGCACCTTCTGATGCTGTTTACAAGGCTCAGTGTAGACCTATCTTCTGTGGAAATGAATATGAAGGCACACTTTTGAAACTTACCTGTTAAACTTGTCTTACTTTCCTAGCTTACAAATTAGGGAAAATCTTTCAATTACTCCACATGTATAAGAGTGTTCTAGGAAAAAAAAAACTGCTTAATAATTATACCACTGTGTGATGTGCCCTTTACTAGTGACACAGCAGAGCAGATTAGATTGTAGAACATTTATTTCTCCTGTATTGGTGATTTAGGACTTGACGTGAGCAGGGCAGGCATAAAAAATTAACAAAATGTATTTCCGTCAGTGGAGAAATGCGTAAATTAAGTGTTTTTTTAATTAAAAAAATGTAAAACTATCGCAGTTAAAAGCAGCACAATGTGTATGTGTGTGTGTGTGTATATATATATATGTCAGCATCGATGAATCTCAAAAACATAACGTTGAGTAAAAAATAAAAGATACTGAATGATAAATAGGGACTTATGTCATTTGTGTGAAAGAAAAACAGATCGAATAATTCATATTATAAAAATATTAAAAATGAACTATAAAGAGATACATGAAATTCAAGAGTGTTTGTCTTTAAGGAAAGAGAGAATACAGACTGAGATCGGGAACTTCGAATGTACCTACAATGTTTTGTTTCTTGCTAAGACTGGAAAACTAACAAAACAAAATGTGAGCAATAGCCACGTATAGGTAAAGGGAACACGGCGATTTACTTTCTTATTCTCTATATGGTCTAAACTTTAGAATGTTTCTCTGGATCAGCAGGGAAATGGGATGGCTGGGTGCCAAGCTGTATGGGAGGCCCAGCCAGTCGGCCTGGTTCCTGGGGACTGTGATCCTTTTCCTTCACTGTGAACTTCCCTGTGGACCTCCGAGGCCTCTGACTGTGCAGCTCCCCAGGCTCCCTCCCCAGCTGTGATGATCTCCCCTGAGGTTCGTGAGCGCAAGGGCATGACCTGTGAGGAAGGTGGCTGACCTGATGGCCTGGGCCACGGAACATAGGCTCTAGAACGACATTAAAACAGTAGCCAGGATCGAAACTTCTCTTCCTGAGACAGACACCAGCTATGCCACATGTTATGAAAACTTCTGGACTGGCCGCATGCTCATAACGAATAACCCACCTTCTAATGAGGTTGGAGTCAAGTTCAGGTGGCTGATAGAAAGCTCCTAAATGTGATCCTCTGCCCCCAGATGCATTGCCCCCTTTTAACCCCATATCGACTCCAGGATCTGCATAAGAGTGCCCAGCAGTAGTAAAATAAGTTGTTGAAGAATTGGACAAAAGTTTTAAAAATCATCGTCTTCATAAAGATGCCGATTATCTTGGATGACCCTGTAGAAGACATTATCTAAGCTGCTGATATGACCCATCTGCTCGTACCTCCCACTTGGATGGTCAGGCATGTATATATAGCACTAGTGATGGAAGCACTGCTCTACCTGATAAGATAGTTGGTAACTTTTCATTATCTGCTGAGGCTGAAAAATAAAAGTATTTGTTAGAAGGACCGGATTCATTCGTTGTCTCACATGTAAAATGCCAACACTTTTTTCTGGAGAGGGAGATTAGTACAAATGGGCACTACCGACATTTCCCAGAGTGGTGCCTGTGTCTCTCAGAGCAGAGGGATTTGTCCCCACTGTGTGCTATCTGGTGGGACTGTTCTTAGTCAAGATCAAAGTTGCCCCAAGAGAGGTCAAACAGCCAGTCCACACGTGCTCCACCTGCGTATTCATTTATCGATTCAATAAACTTGTCTTGGGTGCCTATAAGGTGCCAAGCTGTAATAGGGGCTAGTGATGCAGTGATGACCAAGGTAGAGAAAACCCTTGATCTCATGGAGCTTAAAATCAGTGCTAAAGGTGACAATGAGCATCACATTGCCCCGAGAGCCTTTGGTAGCAAGTTTTCCCTGATGGTCGTGAGCTTCAACTCATCTTTCCTAGGGGCTTAAAATATTGGAAGTGGTGTGTACAGTGTCTCACACCCAGTTTGGGTGGTTTTAACTCATGGTTCATTGACCTACCTGATGCCGTGGTTGGGTGGTTAGCATCTTCCGGGACGGTGGAGGTTGAGAGAACTGTTGGGAAAACAACAATACGAGGAAAATGACTCCTGATATTTAATCCTAAATGGAAAGAAAAGGCCTCTTTTCATCTGCTTCTAGGAGAAGAATTCAATTAGCTTGATACAAACTCCTTCAACAGAGAATTTTAAAGGACACAGCGACCTTGAGAATATTGGGCCACACAAAAGGCCACATATTATATGACTTCGTTTATAAGAAATATCCAGAACAAGTAAATCCACAGAGACAGAAATCAAGTTGGTGATTGTCAGGTGCTGGGGGGAGGAAATGTGACAAAGTGGCCGTGGCTATGAGCAAAGAGCAGAGCCTCTCTCCCTTGAATGGCTATTCCTCAGGACACGCCTCAAGGCAGAGATGAAGGCCCCACTCACTCTGCATGACTGTGCACCAGGCTCTCTGCTAAGTGCTTTACACTGACCCACGGACTGACTCCTCACAACAACTCTTTGAAATATGGAGTTATTATCCCCATCTGTCAGGTAAGGAAACAAGCACAGAGAAGGAAAGAGACCTGGCGGGGGCCACCCACGTAGCTGAGTGGTAGGAGAGAGTGGCTCCAAACCCAGTCGTCTGCTCTGAGCGCTGTATTGTCAACTAAGTGGAATATGCCATTCAGATTTCTAAAGAATCCTTGGTCACTTACACATGAGAGCTAAGAACTTAATGTGCTTCCTCTCGCTTTTGCTACTATTTGGAAGTGAACACAAATATGCAAACTGGGCTCGACCCAGCAATATTCATTTGTTTGAGCATTAACTTATTTACTCATTTAACTAACATTAAATGCCCACCAAAAGGCAGACATTGTTTTTGAGACTGTGTGTTTGTACATGTGCACACGCACATGGTCATGTGGTTGGGGACAATGTCGAAGATGAGAAAGACATGGATCGTGCTCCAAGAAGCTGACGATGTGATTACAGAAACGAGTGGACACACACACATTGTACAGGACAGGAATGAAAGCTAAAAGTGAAGACAGATGAGAAGCTACAGGATCTAGAAGACGAAACCAGCGCCACCAGCTTGGGATGGGAGGGTCGGACAGGCTTTCTGGGGGCTGAGGCTGGTGTCTCAGTGGCACCCTAGAGGCAATGGACATGTGGGTTTGGGAGAAGTAAGTGTGAGAGTGAGAAAAACAAATGCAGGGCTCCCTGGCTCGGATTGGCCCGCCTCGTTCCGTTTGGCTTCCTCGTCTCAACTGAATCCCCGTAGTTTCAGAATAAGCAACATGCCTGGTCCGTCGTTTTAGTAGTTTATAGGATTTTAATGTGGTTTAGAGAGTTAAAATAGTTCAGAGAAGTAGATCTAGAGCTCTGAAGTCAGATTGTTTGTGTTATCATTCCATCGATCTTGGGGACAATATTTAATCTATTTGAGCATGTTTCTTCATTCGGAAAATGGAGATTATAGAAGCTCCCTCATCTGGCTATATGGGAAGATTAGATAAGAAAATCCACGTAAGGCAGTCAACACAGCGATGGACGTGGCATAAGGCAATTCTGTCCAATAGAAATAAAGCACAAGCCACATATGTAATTTTAGATCTTCTGGTATCATATTTTAAAACTAAAAAGAAATGGGCGAAATTAATTTGAAAAATATATCTTATTTAGTCCAGCATATCCAAAATATTAAAATTTCAACACATAATCAACATAATAAATGTTATTGGGGGACGTCTTACATCGTTTCTATAGTCCTGAGTCTTTGAAAGATCCTGCGTGTATTTGACACACACAGCGTCTCAGTTCCACTGAGTCACAAGTACTCAGGAGCCACATGGACAGGGCAGGTATGAGGGCTCGCTGAAGTTTCTTATCAGCATTGTCAGAATATGAATTCCATGATGGTACCATTGAAACGTCAGCAGTGACAGATGATGGAGGTGTGGAGACGACACCAACTAGCATGATGATAAAACGAGATGGCCATAACGGTGGCAACTTCTCAACACCACGGCTAGGAAGAGGTGTCTTCTTTTTGTGTGACTCACTGATATAAGAATGAAGTCTTTCCAGATTGGACACCTCCTAGATCTTAGGCCAGATGCCCTAGTTTATTTATTAAATTCAAAAGATATGAGGTGACACTTTTAGTAATCTCTCTCTCTCTTACACTAACACACACACACAAAGACACTCGTACCCCTACCTCTTTTCCTCTTGCTCTTTATATTTGTGAAAACGTGTGAAATGAGTAGTCTTGTGTTATGATGTTCTTTGATGGTAAAATTACAGATTAGCAAACATAAAGTGAAGCCGCACGGCATGAAATCCAGACATCTCAGGGTCCTCTTGTCCCTTTTTTCTCAAATCATTCAACCTTGGATGGAACGTTAGAAGTATCTAGTGATGGAGGCAGAACCACTGCCTATCACGACAGTGCGACTCAGGAGCACCAGTAAATTCTGAAACGGTGGGAGGGAGGGGGTTGGGAGCTAGTCCTACCTGATGAGGTTGAACGCGCCACAGCTATAGGAGAGAGTTGAGTTGAGATGGCAGCAGGTAGAACTGTAAAAAAGAAACACTCGTTAACAGTAACAGCTCACGGCGACTTGAGAGAGATGTGGACAGCCGGGGCTCCCCGCGATTCCACAACATGTAGTTTGGCCTCAACTCTGAAGTGACCGCTGTGTGAAAGAAATGTCAAATCACCTCTTAGCCACTGGCCCTGGTCTTGTCCGACTCAGTCATGCACAACCTCTCTCTCCTGGACTCGATGCCTAAGGACAGGTGTTTGGCGTTTGGCGGTAAGAATTACGCCTTCTGGGTGTTAACATTCTCCCTACATGTTAGCTTGGTGGTCTGGACCATCAGGAAACCCTGGAACTTTTATTCACTTGTCCTACTTATTTCACCCCTCAGCCTGTTTAATTGCTGACATGTCTCCGTGTCG